TGAAAGAGATGCCGAGTCACATAGAAAAGTCTGGGGATTTTTAAAAGGATTTTTTTTGAGCCCCACTTTGGGGTGTTTAGAGCCTGCCAGGATCAACTTCTCCCAGTATTTCTGTGCACATCCCCCCTGGCCATGCCCTGGAGGTTATCGGGAGATGAGGAGGGTGGGCAGAGAAAGCAAGCAGCACTGAGGAGGATGACTGAGCACCTCTAACCACTCCCACATCCCCAGGCTCAAGGGCGCTTGCAGGGCAGGACCCCGCTGTCTGTGCTGTGCCCCCGGGGACAGCCCATCCACATCCCCATCCCCGGGATGGCAGACAACAGGGCATTTGGGGTTGTGTAGCCGGAGCACCCATCCTGGGGGATGCAGATTGGATTAAACCAAGGGCCCAGCTGGCACGGAGCACCCGGGAGATGGCCAGACCCCCGCAGGGCAGCCCCTCACCCGCGGCATTGCTATGGGAAGCACCGCTGCCAGCAAATTGCTCTCCTGTCTCTCCCTCCAAACGGGAGCGGTGGCAGCGAGGCGGCAGCGAGTTGGCTTTCGCCAGCATTTCAGCAGCCCACGTGGGGTGGCTCCTGCCAGGGGAGAGAAGTAAAATTAAATATATATATATATATAAAAAAAAAGGCAAAGAGAGAGGAGGAGATGACGGATGGGAGGATTTGCAGCCGTGGCCGTTTGTCCTGGTGGAGGGAGCCCTGGATTCTGCAGGCACAAGGGACCTGCCGGTGCCCGTGGGCCGTGGGCACGCATCCCCCAGCACGGCTCGGCACGGCACGGCACGGCACGGGGAGCAGCCGTCCCCGCGGTCCCCCCGCCGCCCCGCTGCCTTTGCCAGCCGACTAATTGCGCCAGTGACTTTGCAGTTCCCAAAATAGCTCCTGGCTCCGGCGGGTGACGTCAGCGGGAGCCGCGGCGGCAGGGCCCAGGCAGGAGCAGGGAAGGAGGACGCTGCCGGGCGTGGGGTGTGGTGAGCAGCTCCTGCACCCCACCGCGGTCCCGCTGGGTGACCTTGGCACCGTGGGCCGTGATCCCAAGGGAGCGAGGCTCGCGGTGCCGCAGGGATGCTGCGGGGAGTCCAAATCCTCATCCGCCCCTTCGGAGGAGGTGGTCCAAGGATGTCCCTGCCCTGCATCCCTGCCACGTGGGTGCCCACATCCCCAGGACCTCTGGCCGCAGGGAGTGGGGCAGCCTGTTCAGAGGGGCAGATCTGCCCCTCGGTGCCCCCGTATGGTAAGGAATGCCCCCTCAGCCAGGGCAGCTGGATGCCTGCAGCTGCCCAGGGGTGCCAAGGGGTGAGCCAGGGCCACCCTCCCGATGCCCCTCCAGGGAAACTGAGGGATGCAGGAGGATGCAGAGGCAGCAGGGAGAGCAAGGGGGGGCACAGCGAGCAGACAAACAGAGCAGAGCTCAAGGTCACCCAGGTGCTGCTGGACACAGCAGAGCCAGGGATGCTCCCCGGGCCAGGGCTGCCTCGGGCACTGACTCACCCTGCGCAGGACAGTGCCCAGCTCCTCCAGTTACAGGCACAGATGGGATTGCCTTAACAGGGCACAGTGGGTGACAGGGCTGGCCCAGTCCTGAGAGAGCACCCCTGGGACTGGGCACACACACCCAGGCCCCTCCAACCATCCCTGCAGTCTTCACCCTCTCCAAGCAAGGCATCCTCCAAACCACTTCCCAGCCAGAAACACTGGCTTGTACTGGTCTCACATTGGTCCCAGAAAAGGATCCCCATCCCTCCCAGCACAGCCAGGCACAGCAATGTCTGCCCCAATTTCTGGGGACCAGAACTCCTGAGCCCCACACCAGCACTCAGCCAGAGGCTGGCTTATTATTCAAGAACACGGCAAAGTAATTAAAGCCTCCTCCATTTCCCCTTGCTCATTTGTGCTCCTTCAGCCTGGATTAATGGGTCTCCTCTCCCCAGCACAGACTCATTCCTTATTCCTAATAGTCCATAAATCCCAGCCCCAAAATAACCCCAGCTTTTGCCTGGGCCTGCTGAAATATTTATTCTCTCCTCCCTGCTACCCCCCACACCATCCCCTCTCCGGGGATGGGGAGAGGAGCTAATCAATGGGATCGACCGGTGAGGAGCTGCAGCTGCTCTGGGCACCGGGAAACAGCTGATGTCGGCAAGAGGATAAGAGCTGGGCAGGAACCTCGGCTTATCCCGGCTCCCACGCAGCCGCTGCAGCCTGGCTGTGGTCCCAAGGCTGGATGCTCTCGCACCACCGGCATCCCCCGTGCTGGTACCCTGCTCCAGAGCATTCCCCCTGCTGATACCCTGCTCCAGAGCATTCCCTGTGCTGATACCCTGCTCCAGAGCATTCCATGCTGATACCCTGCTCCAGAGCATTCCCCCTGCTGATACCCTGCTCCAGAGCATTCCCCCTGCTGATACCCTGCTCCAGGGCATTCCCTGTGCTGATACCCTGCTCCAGAGTCTTCCTGTGCTGATACCCTGCTCCAGAGTCTTCCTGTGCTGATACCCTGCTCTAGAGCATCCCCTGTGCTGATACCCTGCTCTAGAGTATTCCCGTGCTGATACCCTGCTCTAGAGCATCCCCTGTGCTGTTTCCCTGCTCCCACCCTGCCTGTCACTCCCTGCTCCCATGGAGATGATGTCCAGCTTGGCTGTGCAGTGTCTAGGGGGATCCCTGTGGATCCCAGCCCACTCCAAGCTGGCTGCGGGAGAAAAGGCTGGAAGACAAGGGAGGCAGCTGCTGTCTCTCCTGGCTGGAAACCCTTTGCTTGCTGGATTGCAGGTTGCAGAAGGGAGAAGCTCCAGGAGAGCAGGACCTGCTTTCCCAGCCCAAAGCCAAGAACAGCAGGGTGTTGGGTAACACCAAAACCCAGCCTGGCTTTACCGGCTCAAGGCACAGCCCTCAAGGAAAACAGGGAAAGCCCATCCAGCCTTAGTCACCTTCCTCCTTGCAACACCCCAAGAGGCAGCAGCCTCCAGAGCAGCTCCTGGCTACCAGATCCCTCCCCACCTCCCATAGCCATGGGGAGGGGTCGGCAAAGCTGGTGGAGCCTGCAGCACCCTCTGACCCATCCCCAGCTGGTGTGGGCTGCAGGGGGGCCTGGGGAGTGCCGGGGACTGCTCTGTCCCCCTCCTACTCCCAGCAGGACCCAGGCATTGCCCAGCTGTCCCAGAGGCAGGAGACAAGGAGGGGGGTGAGGGGGCAGCAGGGTGGGCAGCGGAGCGTGCAGGACCTGGGAAAGGAGAGGTTTTATTCACACACCACCTCCCTGCCCTTTCCCAGGGCCCCAGCAAGCCCAAGTCGAGCTGCACTGTCACAGCCTGCCTGGAAGATGTTTCCATGCCTCAGTTTCCCTTCCATCCCCTCAGTGATGGAAATCTGGCCTGGGGGCAAAGTGCTGGAAAAGCTCTGCCCACAGGAAGTGGAGGAGAGGCAGCCAACATCAGCCTTGGCATGGGGCCAGGGCCACCCCACAGCCCACATGACTGCCAAATCCACCGGGAACAAACCCACGGCTGGAACCAACCCTGAGCCTGGTGCAGCTCAGGGCTGTACCCCCAGAGCTGGGGTGGGGAGGGGTCTAAGCTGGGATCTCAGCTGGGTGGGAATCAAGGGATTTGCACCAATTTTTGGCAGCAAGAGCTGAGCCTTCTCCTCCAGGTTTGGGACATTGCCTCTTCCCCAGATATTTACTGCTGCCCGGGGCTTTGAGGGGGTGACAGGGAGACAAGTCAGGTCTCAGAGCACTTCCAAAGGGCTTTTATTTATTCACAAAACAAACCCAAACACATATAAGGAAAAATGGGAAAACCAAAAAGCCCAACCCAGGAATATGCACAGTCTATTATTAACAAAAGGATTGCACAAACAGAGGAGTGAGTGCAGCAGAGGGAGCAGCTGGGACCTGCTCTGTGCTGCTGCCCGAGCCCTTCCTCACCCTTACACCCCATCCATGAGAACACAGAGATCATTTTCCTGGTGTCCCATTAGGAATCAAACACTTGGTGGTGAAGGCAACTGATGCTGCAGGATGGGTCCTTCCACCTGAGCTGGGAGGGAAACAGCCTTTACCCTAGAGGCATGGCACTGGGAAGAGACCAGGCTTCTGGGCCCCTTTCCTTGCTCTGGGAAGAGATTTGGGGTCTCTCCTATGGTTTTCCATCTGCTTGTGTCCTGTCTGCCAGCTCCCTGCCTGCCCTGGGCACCCTCACCTGCCCTGAGCATTATGGAGCTTATGGGACAGAGCAGTCAAAGCCAGCATGTCTGGATAGCACAGGATGGAGAAGGACGGTGAGGCTACAAGGAGGCCCATCCTTTCCCACTCCCCAAGGGATTTTTTGGGCAGGTACACAGGCTGTGCTGAAGCCCCCCCAGGAAGGGAAATCTCAGTTGAGCTCTCCTAAAACCCCACAGAGTTTGCAGAAGAAACAGGGGAAATGGGCATGAGGATTGCAGATGGCGTGAGATCCAATGCCTGCATTTCTGCTGCATGGAAATGAGGGAGGGATCGGTGTTTCTGACACCAAAATGGGAAGAAAAAGCTGGTATTGGGATTTCTGAGGGGTTTTCAAAGCAAATTGCAGAACAGCAGCAACTCGCTGCAGAGCCACTGGAACATCCTGGTGGGATTTCAGCCCCCTTTTTACATTTTCTGAGTGTAATCTAACGTCATTTTCACAGCAGAAATTCCATTTTTCTCTCCTCCTCTCTTAATAGAAATGGCTGAAACCAACCAGATTTCACACCAAAAGTGGTTCTGTTTTTCCAGGGGGTGGTCTGGGGGAAAAAACCTTCAGCCAGTATTTCAGGAGCTGAGGAGAGCCCAGTCCTCACCCAGCTCTTCCCACCCTCAGAGCCCAAACACCCGCAGTGGACTCAACCTGTGCCCTCGTGGGGTGAGTGGGGAAACTGGGGCAGAGAGTGGGTGTCAGGGTTCAGCCCCTCTTTGTGGGCATCACCCCTGTCCCCCCCTTACCTGCGGGGGGGTCCCGACGAGGCGGGCAGTCATAGGATGTCACAGACAGCACCAGCGTCCTCGGAGTGGTCGCAGTTGTGGACGTCCCAGCGGATGTGGGAGCAGCGCAGCAGCGAGGGCTCGTGGCCCTTGCACTTGAGGTTGTCGAGGAAGATGTAGCCCGTGCCCTGGCCGTACCGGGCCTCCCCCCAGGCTGCCATGGCGTGCCCGCAGCCCACCTGCCTGCACACCACCTTGGCGTCCCGCAGGTCCCAGGCGTCGTCGCACACCGTGCCCCACTGGGACAGGTAGAACATCTCCACGCGCCCCTCGCACCGGTGGCTGCCGTTCACCAGGCGCAGGGACCCTGCGGAGGGCACGGGGTGAGGCAGCCCCTGCCCGTGCTCATCCTAGTGCTGCACCCCCCTCTCCACCACCTTGGAACAGCTCTGGTCTTTCCAAGGCTCTGCAGATGTTTGCTGGGGCCCACAGCTCCCCCACTGCCTCCACACAGCCAGAATCACGGGGGGGTGACCCGCTGCTGGTACCTGGGTGACCCTCAGAGCATCGTGGTGGATGTTCAACTTGAAAGAATGGACAATAATTCTCTGTTCCTGGCTCAGCCCCTTTGATCCATCACCTCCCCTCCTCACCAACGTCCATCACCCAATGGTCCATCACCTGAGGTCCATCGTCGCTTCTCCCATCCAAAATCCAACACTTAATGGTCCATCACCTGAGGTCTGTCACCTCTATCTGAACCAGCCTTGGGGGCACCAGGAGAGCCCATGACTTAATGGTGCCACTAGTTTTTCCCCCTCCTATGACCTGCTCCAGGTGGATGCTTCAGACACTGCCAAAGCCTGTGCCACTGCCCAAGCCACCTCCGTTTCCACGCTGTGCCAGTGTGGAGCATCCCCAGGGCTGGCACTGAGTCCCTACCTCAGTACCTACCCTCCCTGGGACGAGTTGGGACCAACGTGGTGGTCGTAGCAGTGGCTTCTTGGAAATGGTCTCCAGTGTCATCAGCACCTGGTGCAGTGGGGAAGGGGTGGGAAAGTGACTCAGGGGACACCTGACCCCAGGGCCAGGACAGAGCCCCCCAGCAGTGGTGTGGGATGGCTGGGGATGGATGCGGGGTCGTGTGGGGTGGGATGTGCAGTCACTGCACTTCCAGGGATGTGCACAAATGGAGACCAGAGATGATAGACACACTGCAGCCATCACCATGGTGCGCCACAGTACCAACTGCAATTGCTGTCCATCATAGGTAGGAGGCCCCCCAGGGTCAGGTCAGAGCCCCCCAGCAGCAGCGTGGGATGGCTGGGGACTGATGCAGGGATGTGTGGGGTGGAATGTGCAGCCACTGCGCTTCCAGGGAAGTGCACAAACAGAGACCAGAGGTTGTATTCACATTCCAACCATCACCTGCACCACAGCACTGAGCACTGCTGCTGTCCTCCACAGGCAGGAGGAATCCCGGGGGCTCATTAATCACCCACCACCCCATTTTGGAGACCCCACTTCCCGCAGCCCCCCCTGAGCACAGCCAAAATCCTCCCTACACCCATTATCTCGTTGGTTTTCCACTCCACTGAGCTGAGCTTCACTGGAGAACCCCCTTCTCCCAGCTGGCGGCCCCCAGGCTCTCCCGGACTCTCACCTCGGCAAATGACCCCGGCGTCCTCGTGGTGGCCGCAGTTGTGCTGCCCCCAGCCCAGGTGGAAGCAGTCGGCCAGGCGAGCCTCGCCGCCGCCGCATCCCACGTTATCCAGCAGGACGGGCCCGCTGCCGTAGCCGAAGGAGCCGAGGACGGTGGCGGCGAGGGCGGCCCGCAGCCCAGCTGCCGGCACCAACCTGGGCGTCGGGAAGTCCCAGTCGTCGTTCGCAGACGGTGCCCCAGGTGCCGCGGTGCCGCACCTCCACCGCCCGCGGCAGCTCCCGTTCCCGTTCGCCAGCCGCACGCCGCCACCTGCGTGGGGGCCCCGGCACAGGCACGACACCGGGGGGGAACCAGGGCTCCACAGGGGGGTCCAGTGTCCCCTGCTGACCCTCCAGGGGTATGGGGTGAGCCCCCGGGGAACGTGGGGTGAGCGTCTGGGTTATGGGGTGACACATAGGGACGTGGGAGCAACCCCCTGGGGATGTGGGGCAAACCCCTAGGGACAGGGATGCAACCCCCCCAGGGATGTGGGGCAAAACCCTGTGGGCATGGGGTGAGCCCCTGGGTTATGGGGTGACCCCTGGGGGCATGGGAGCAACCCCCCAGGGATGTGGGGCAAAACATTCAGGGCGTGGGGTGATTCCCTGGGTTATAGGGTAACACATGGAGACATGAGTGCAACCCCCTGAGGATGTGGGGCAAAACCCCTGGGTTATGGGGTGACCCTTGGGGACATAAGTGCATCCCCTGGGGGCATGGGGTGAGCCCTTGGGAGCATGGGGGGAAGCCTGAGAATGTCAGCTGAGCCCCTGGGGACTTAGGGTGAGCCCTGTGGATGTGGGGTGAGCCCTGGTGATAAGGGGTGACCCCCCCCCGGGAACGGGGAGCCCCATGCAGAACTAGCAGCAGCTGCACACTTACTTTCCTGCTCGACAGTCAGGAGCATGGTGGTGACCACCTCAGTGGCCTGGGAGGGCTGGTCCCTGCCATCTGTCACTGCTGGGACAAGCATGGAGACACACAGACATTGGGGGGTCCAGATCCAGCACCCACTGCCCCTGTTCAGTCGGTGCCAGCGGCCAGCAGCACCAGAGCTGCCCCATGGCAAGCTACTGCCATGGGCAATGTCACTTCCAGAGTGTCACCCACGCATGGCAGGACCCCAGGGTGACTATGCTGGGTCACAGCAGGACACAGAGGGCATGATGCCCCCCAACAAGACCCCAGCTGAGTGACTGCTGACCTGTGGCCGTGGCTGTGAGTGTCTCCTCAGAGTCCAGGGCCACCGAGGTGGTGAATGATGTGATGGTGGACGTGTCCAGCCCTGCAGTGACACAGAGGGACAGAGGTGAAATGGTAGGAAGAAAGATGCACAGCTGTGAACGTCCTGACTGTGGGAGGCAAACCCGGGTGGTTGGACTCGATGACCTCAGAGGCCTTTGTCTTTTCCGACCTAGTTGATTCTGTGATTATGTGAGTCTGGATGCTCCAGGGCAATGGGGATGAGGATGGACCATGTCCATCTGCACATTTCTGCTGCTCAGGTGCTGGAAATGGGGCTTCTCCACCCCAGCCCAAGTGCTGGGGTCCCACATGGGACCTTCCTTCTCCATGTACCTGGGAGGTTTATCATCAGGATTCATTACCTTTTAATCTGTCTTATCCCCTACCCCTCTGAGCAGAGGCTGTTCATGGTGATGCCATCAGCTCACTGCCCAGGGGAGGTGCCAGAGGGGATGGGGATGTTTAGGGAGGAAAGGACCAGCCTGAGAAAACTGTCCCTTTTCTCCAGCATCAGCCTCTTTGTCCCCTAACGGCAGGAAAGGGAAAGCACTGGCACTTACTGCTCCCGTCATTAGCCATGATAATGAGGGAATTCAGGGGGATTATTAACATTATAAACAGTAATCAGCGGAGAATGGCAGAAATGCATCATTTCAGGAGGGGAAGGGGAGGCAGGCTGGGCCTGGCATCGTGCCCAGCCCCTGGCAGCCGCTTACTCATTCCGGACTTGGGCAGCTTGTTTTCCAGCCAGCAGAGCAGGGAAGTGGCAGAAGGAAATGGCAGGATGGCAGATGCATTTCCCCTGCAAATCACCACTCCAGCCGTGTCCCAGTCCCTCTGTGCAGTGTTGCATCCTGCTCCAGACCACCAGGATGACGGCGGATAAGGAGCAAGGATGTTCCTACAGCACCAAAGACTGGTCCCTGGCCAACCCTGGGTACCTCAGCATCTCTCTGAGGCCATTTCTCCTCAGAGACCGGGAAGCCCCTGGGTTTTTCCCTGCCCTGGTACCTGCACAGATGACCCCGGCGTCCTCGTGGTGGCCGCAGTTGTGGATGCCCCAGCCGAGGCTGTAGCAGGCGGAGAGGAAGGGCTCGCTGCCATCGCAGTTGACGTTGTCCAGGAGGATGCGCCCTGTCCCGTAGCCAAAGTAGGCATTGCTCTTGTAATCCAGGGCCTGCCCACAGCCCAGCTGTTTGCAGACCACGCTGGCATCGCTCAGGCCCCAGTCGTCGTCGCAGACGGTGCCCCAGTTCCCGCGGTAGAAGATCTCCACCCGGCCCTGGCAGGTGTCGGGCCCGCTCACCAGACGGATGCTGCCGTCACCTGGAGGGTGGCAGCATGTGGTGAGAAGGATGTTGTGCCCCTGCACACGGCACAGGGATGCCACCGAGCCTGGAAATGGCAGTGCCCGTGATGGCAAAGAAACCGAGTGAGAAAGAGCGGGGAAAGGGTGGTGCTTTAGGGCAACACGGTTTGGGAGCCTTGGAAAGCTCTGGGATAGGGTTTGGCCATGGCCAGCACAATGATAGATCCCCGGGGTTCTGCCCCTCGGAGCTGGAGAGTTGTGGGGCTCAAGAGGGGCAGCAGGTGATGGTGGGGGACACTGCCCTCAGCCAGGATGTCCCCCCTGCAAGCAGCACTCAAGCAGCTTACTTTCCCCATCCTGTACCGGGGCTGTGAGGGTCCTGGTGGTCGGTCCTTCGCTGGCTTGCGTGGGTGAGAACTCTGCAAAGGGAAGCAGAGAGGTGGCACCTGCTCCTGCTCCATCATGAAGCTGGAGGGATCCCTCCCACCCCACTGCTCCAGGAGGGTTTGCACCACACTAGCCCCAAGAGGGAAATAAAGAGGGTTTGCAGCTGCACTGCCCTGCCCAGAGCTCTCTACCAAGGGCTCAAGCCACTTCTCTGCCCTCAGACCCACCCCCCCTACCTTCTTCTTCACCCCTTCCACATCTCCTCTCCAGCAGTGCCCTGGCTCAGTTTCTTGCTCAATCCATGACCTCTGTTCTCTGGTCCAACCCACCAGCCAACCCATCATCTCTGCCTTTCCATTCTTCCTTTTCCAAGCCCTGCTTCTGGAGGACACAGGAATTCACTGAGCAGCTGCTCTGGGTCTGCACAGCCTCACATTCAGTGCTCACTGATGCCTGGCTGATGAGCAAACCCTGAGTAGCTACACAGGAGGAAAGTGTGTGGGGTGCATAGGGGTCGGCACAGAGTTGTTCCACTTTCACTTGCCAAGTTCAAACACTTTCCACTGCTTTTCTCACCTTTAGGAACATTTTCCTACTGAAAAGCTCAGCAATTTAAAGAAAGACAAGTCAAAAGGGGTAAGAGCAGTGGGGCAGCGACTGACTCAGAGGCTGAAACGTGGGTGGGCATGTGCTCTTTCCCCAAGGATTGTGCTGGAGAGGTCGCAAAGTCCCTGAGCTGGGAGTGAAAAGAAAACACAAAACAGGCTGGTCACCTTATGGCACCAGCATGTGGAGCTGGGAGGTGACCTGGATTGAGGAAAGAGGTGGAGGGGGGATGCAGAGGAGGCTTGGCTGACCCATGATCATAAGAACAGAGGCTGGGATATGACTCTTGGGCTCTACCAAAGCATCTGCACCCCCCAAGGCTTGCAGCCCCCCAGGAGCTCCCTGCCCTCCTTGCCCCCAGGGAACCCAACCTCACTACCATTGCACACGACAGCCACGTCCTCGTAGTGGTAGCAGTTGTGGATGCCCCAGCCGTGGCTCCAGCACTCGCTCAGAGCTGCCTCCCAGCCCTTGCAGTCCACGTTGTCCAGGAAGATGGGCCCGTTCCCCTGGCCGAAGGTCATGGCAGCCGGGAGGGTGATGGCGTGGCCACAGCCCAGCTGGCGACACACCACGTTGGCATCCACGATGTCCCAGTCGTCGTCGCAGACCGTCCCCCAGGAGCCGTTGTAGAGGATCTCCACCCGCCCCTGGCACCGGCTGGGCCCGTTGGAGAGACGGATCTCTGGGAGGACGGGCAGAGGGAGGTCCCTTAGCAGGCAACAGGCCACGAGGTGACAAACACTCAGGGGGAGCAAAACTACTCCAAATCCCTGCTCCTTAAATTAAACGGTGACTCTTCTCTGTATCACAAGGCTTGGTGCTGCCCACCTGGTGGTGGGACATTTGGCTTCCCTTCACTGGAGGTTTTTAAAAAGAGATTGGATGTGGCCCTTAGTGCCATGATATAGTAATTGGAGTTGGATCAGGGGTTGGACTTGATGATCTTGGAGGTCTTTTCCAACCCAATCTATTCTATGATTCTATGATTCATCTGCTGGAAGCAGAGGACGTGGAGACTCAACATATCTCAGTACAACTGAGATGCACCAGCATCAAGGCTGGGTTGGACAGGGCTTTGACCCACTTGGTTTAGTGGAAGGTGTCCCTGCCCATGTCACGTTGGGGTTGGAACAAGGTGGGATTTAAGGTCCCTTCCAACCCACACCATTGTGTGACTCTATGATCATGCCATCATTTCACCTCCTAAAGGGCAATAACCCAACAGGAGAAGAGGAAAGCAGATGTGAGGCACCCATGTGTAGACATACAATGGGTGACAAGTGACAAGGTGCAATTAGCAAACTCTTATGAGCCTCAACGAACAGATCCAGAGCTGATCCCACGTGGGAGTCGGTGAGATGGAGATGATCCCTCAAGCTGCTGGTGACAGGGAGCAGGCATAGAAGTGCTCCTGGCCTGCCACGTCAAGGGAATTATTTGCTTGTGTGTGATGCATGGCACAGGGACAGGGACTCAGCAGGAGGTGGCAAAATTCCCCTCTCAGGATAATAAGTGGAACAGGGATAATAAAGAAACTCTATTTCCTTTCTGTAAAACAAATTTAGCTTCTTGCTGCTTTTTATTCCAAACCAATATGCTTTCTCTTTGAAATTCCCCAAATCCTTTTTTTTTTTTTTTTAACCAAAAAATTGCATGTTTCAACTACAAAACTTCCTGGAGAAAAGTGATTTTAAGAGAAGAATCTCACCTGGGAATTGCAACATCTCAGGCTCGGAGGTGGTGCCTGTAAGGGAGAAGAGAAGGGATCAGCTCTGCAAGGGAGAAGAGAAGGGATCAGCTCTCCCCAGCCCTTGAAGCACGGGGAGCTCGAAGGATGATGGCAGCAGGGATGGGGTGGGCATGGTGGGGGACCTGACAGCCCCTGGACCTTTTTCTCTCCTGCAAAGGCCTGAGGTTTGTAGGGGAAAAATTAAACACCTTTTCTCAGGGCATCAGTTCATCTGCTTCACAGTGGGGGAAACTGAGGCAGCATGTGGGTGACTGTGGCTCTGCGGTGGGACTGTGCTTGAAGCACAGTTGTGTGACACTGAAGAGCCCAGTGGCCAGCAGCAGCCACCCCAGGTGGGCCCTGCCTTGAGTCAGGCCTTGGGAATCTTCGTATCAATCCATGGCTCCATTCACGAATTGCTGCAGGCCCTGGGCAGCTCCTGCATGCCCCTGCCCTGTGCCCCGTGGAAAAGTTGAGTGGTGAGATGGGGATGAGGAAAACCCATCCTGCCTGCCTTGAGAAACCCACTGGAGATCTCCTGATGGAAGATGCTGTGCCCTGTGTGCATTTTAATTGATTTTTTCTTTTTTTTTTTCTCTCCCAACAAAGTCTGCTTTTTGCAAGCTCCACAATTACATGCAAGCACCAACACACCTGTTGATGGGGTGCATCCACCTTAGGGGGTGAGCAAGCAGCCTCCAGAGGGAACTGAACGTTTGCAGGATGCATTTACATTCCAGCCAGCTGGGTTTGAATGAGGGCTCTGGAAGTGCCCTGCCAGCAGCCCCAAACTCAGGGTCTGGATGCTCAGGGAAGGGCTAAGGGAAAGCTGAAACTCCTCCTGGCAGCCTGCTCCTCCCACTGGGCTGGGCCCCCCTCCCACAATTTGGGCATTTATTTGGGCACAAAAACTCTCTCAGCCCCAGTGCTGAGTGATGTGGGATCCCCCCTGGGATGCTGCCAGCGTGGGGCACTGAGAGCTCCAGCTTGTCCAGGAGGTCACAGCAGCATGATCCAGGGGACAGTGGATGGGAACGAGTGGCTGGACCTTGTGGACATCCCTGTCACTGTCCCTGTGGGTACCCTGGGAGTTCACAAGCTCTTGGCAGATGCCAGAGCCCAGCACAGATTCCTTGGCCATCTGAGGCACCTCAGGCTTGAGGCTGTGCCTGCACAGCCCTCTCCCATGGGTGACACCTTCCAAAACCCTTCCAAACCTAGTGGAAGGTGTCCCTGCCCATGGCAGGCGGTTTGGAACGAGAGGAGCTTTAAGATTTCTTCCAAGCTGAACCATCCCGTGATTCTGTGATGCCTCCATGCTAATTACAGCACCCAAGGGCTCATCAACGCCCATGGTGGCTCCGTGGCCTCTTTTCCTCTCCCTGCCTTGGACCAGCCCTGTCCTGCTTCACGCTCAGCCCACGAGCAATGACGTGAAGGTCAATCCCAGCCGCTCTGGAGGCGGATGTCACCACCGTGAGAGGCAGCGTGAGCCTGGGGGGACAGTTGAGCAGATGAACCCACCTCCCTTTTCCTTGCTAGGACGTTGCCTGGGAGACCATTAAGTCAACCAGAAAACAGGGCTGTCAAAGAAAGACCTAGAAGCCCCAAGAGAAACAAGAATAAGGCAACTGTCTAGATGTATCCATGAGTTAGCAGGGATGCTGCCCGTAGCTGGGATGAACATCAGCAGCCAGGGAGCTCCAGCCCTGGTCAGGCATTCCTGCCCTCCCCAGCTGGACCAGGTAGGCTGGAAAGGGATGCTGTGATGCCAGCAAGAAGTGGGAGTTACACAGGCAAGACCAAGGGAGCAGAGAGGCTCTAAAGGAGAGAACAGGGAAGGACATGGCAGCCCTGTGGGCTGGAAAACAGGAGAGAGAGATTATTCAGCTCACCTCTGCACCAAAAATGTGGAGATGTGAGCGTTTCTAGGAAGAGCGTTTCATCCTGGTTTGTATTGATTTTTAACACCTAGTCCACTCCAGTGCCGAAGAAGCAGTGGATGAAAAGACATTGATAAATATTCATTTCCCTTTAAGTCAAAATCAAAGCTCTGAAATATTCATTTAAGAGCATCCTCCAGCAAAGTCAGGAGAGATCTGAAAAAAATATGCCTGGTGTGTCTACCATAATGAGGAACGAGGGGAAAACGGTATCCTTTGAGAACAGAGAGAGGGAGAGGGCCCTCGGTGTTTCTCTGATCCAGCTTCACAAAGCCAAAAGAAAAAGGGAAATTGCTCGAGTAAACACCGGTGCTAAACAAAACCACCAAATGGGAGGACAAATCGCCCTTAGTTAGCGACTAATCTCTGCCCATTAATGAAGAGAACCGGGAGAACCGGGAGAGCCTGGCGGTGCAGGGGACAGCGGCAGAGCCACCGGGGTCCCCTCGAGATCCCCACATGTCGAGTGTGGGCACCGGGGCTGCCACAGCAGCTCGGGAGGGGACGGGAAGGTCCTGCTGAGGGAGTGGGAAGGCAAAACCTGATTTGCCTCAATTAGGGAGTCTGACTACATCTGAATTCCCAGTTTTCTGGCTGGCCGTGCCTTGGCACGGGGTTGTTGAGGCAAGAATGTGTTACCACCCACCGCCTGGCTGTAATCACAGGGATCCAGTCACACCGGGATAACTGTGCTGCCTCAGCACTTGCGCAGACCCTCATTCCAGAGCGGGAATGGCTTTTCCCAGTTGGATTAAAATGCTTCCCAGCCTGACTGGACAGTGCCTGCCAGGAGTGAGTAGGGACCATCGTCCTGAGGGAATGGGTGCACATTCCACCCGTCGCTTCGGCAGGATCAGTCCCACAGGTCCTGTGGAGCAATCCCAGGAGCATCCTTTGGCCGTAAGCATCTTCCCATCGGTGTTGGACCTGCTCCCTCCATCCCTGTGCACCCTCGGTGCTGCTGGGGACACCATGCCAATCCTGCCCATGGAGAAAATCTGCCCCCAAATCTGAGAGCCGGAGGGAGATCGCGGGTGCCTAAAACCCCTCCCACCGCCCAACGCGGAGCTCACCGGTGGGGCTGAGAAGGAGAAAGAGGAGGAGGAGCATGGCTGGCATCAAGGAAAGGGGCAGCACCGCGATGTCCGGCCCCCCTGTGCCGTGCCGGGTGGCCAGACAGGGACCAGGTGTCATTGCTGCACGACAGTCCTGCCGCAGACAGGTATCCAGAGGAGGCTGTCCCTGAAACATGCAGACAGCAGTTAGTGGCGATGGCCAGAAGAGCCTGTGCCCACCAAGGACCATGCAGGACCCCTGAACACGTCTCTCTTCGGTATTCCCAGGAGCAGTGACCAGGAGACACGTGAAAAGTAATTCTAGTTGGATTTATTGAGAACAAGAGGTAATTTTTTGAGTGGCAAGATGAAGCTGAAAGGGCCACATCCCACCTGCAAAAGGAAACTGGAAGCCAGAGGCCTCTATTGTCTCTGCTCTTTGTCATCCTGTGAGGAAAAAAAAAGCAGGGACAGGCATTTCTGTGGGAAGACAGTAATTTCTGGGGTCTGTAGGACAGCCTGATTCACCTGGGGGATTGAGATGCAAACTCCACAGGGGTAAGATGGAAAGCAAACCGAAATGTCAGCAGAAAACAGGGAAAAGATTAAATATCATAAGATTCCATTTCCCCTTCATTTACTGCTCCCTGCAGGAATCACTGCCGAAGGGATGGATTTCTAGCTCTGTTTCACTCACAGACTGTTCGGGAGGGGGATGGGGGCTGGTCCTGCTGGCCGCGACACCTCTGGGAGCCCAGACCCTCATCCCAGCGGTGCCAGCAGTCGGCCTGACGGCAGCGTGTGCTGGTGGAGCAGTGCCATCGTGAGGATGCTCTCAAACACAAAGCCAGGCTCTCAGGCTCAGCTCAGCCGAGACCTCAGATTAGTCCCTCCAGCCTGCACGAGGCACTCCATATCCTTAAGGGATGCACACCAGCTACTGTCATCTACTGATGGTCAAAAACCTGGGAAAGGACATTGAAATCCACTGTATCAATGACCAAACCCTCCCTCCCATGGAAACCCCTCCTCCAGCCTTTTCCTGCTCCTGGTTTTCCCATGCACAGGATGAGAAGAGCTCCCAGGTGGGATCATGTGCTGGTGTCCACCCAGCCAAGGTCCCTTAAGATCGTGGGTTGAATGGGCTCCAGAGCCTCCAGATCAAGGCTTTGTTGCCTGCACCAGAGAGAGATGATGGTGGACCAAGGGTTTTTATGTGCACCAGCCCGAGGTGATGGAGGTGCAGGACGGAGCCTCCGCGGATGGGACAGGGCCCCGTTACTCCTCCCTGGTCTCTCCCTCAGCTCCCGCTGCCCAGAGGAGGAGACCCGCCAACAGACAGACGGCTCAGTGATGGGGGATGAAAACCAATCTACTCGCTGAGGTGGTGGCTTTCAATACTCCATTCATCCCTCCTGCAGCGCCGAATAATGTCGCCTTTTGTCCCGCCAGCCCTCCCCGCCCTCCGGAGGGGCAGGGCTGACAGACGGCCCCTCCGCCGCCCTGCCCCGGCCAAACCCCGGCATCGCGTCCTGCTCGCAGGGACGTTGTCATCGCCGGCCACTTTTGTGCCGGAGCCAGCGCGTTCCTGCTCCCTGGAAGGGTGGCAGCGGGCTTTAACCACTGCGGTGCTGTGCCACGGCCGACCCCAGAGAGGGAAAACCTGATTTGCCTTCTCTGTCCATCGCTCTTCCACCTGCTTCTCCATCCTCACCCCAATGCTCAGGGTTCAGCTATGAACGGAACCCCCTTCCTTGCACCCAGGGATGTTGGGGCCCTTTCAGAATGTCTATAGATTGAAAACTACTTTTAAGCCATAATTAGTCATTGTGGCACTGCAGCAAAGCAAAATATCCCTTTTAACATTGCCCAGAGAAGCTGTGGCTGCCCCATCCCTGGAAGTCTCCAAGGCCACACTGGATGGGGCTTGGATCAACCTGGGCTAGTGGAAGGTGTCCCTGCCCATGGCAGGGTGGAACAAGATGAGCTTTAAGTTCCCTTCCAACCCAAACCCCTCTGTGATTCTGTGAGGTATCTATGATTTAAAGGGTTGCTGAATGTGGGTTTCTGGAAGTCCTTTCAAAATGAGGTCCTGCAAGCTGTCAGGTGTCCTGTAAAAGCACTTCCCATCATGCACCCTATGGAAGGAGCAGTAAACCCCACATCACCCCCATCCTGCACAAGCACTGCCCACTGGGGCTGCTGCAAAACTCCCAGGGGAAGACCAGGGCTCCAATGTGGGGCACAGAAAGTCCCTGCTTTCACCCCAAATAACTCACCACAGCAGACACATCCGTCCCCCACCAGCATTTTGCCCACAATGAAAACTCCCTCCTCCCACCTGGACATGAGACCGCAGAGGTCCTTCAGTCCCCTTTGGTTCCTTCTGTACCCCTTGGCCACAGCTGGAATGAGCCCCTGCTCTCTATTTGTCACTTCTTCTACTTTTTAATATTCAAGTAACTTCAGGAGAAATCACAGTCTTTCACCCACCACCACCCCACCAGATCATTATTTGTAATTACCACCCTGACCTAAAAAAAAGCATCATAAATCCACATACCTGTTTGATAATTTCTCTCCAGTATAAAAGAGGGTATATCAGATCCCAGAAATATTCTATTCTCTTTTGAAATAAAGGAAAGAGCTGGCTAGTTATAAAAAAAATTTAAAATAATGGTTGAAAAATTAATATTCCCAGTAAGAGGTGATGGGGATAAGGCAGGAATTTTTTCTTTAGGTGAGATCTTGTTTAAAAAATTTAAAAAAATAATAAAAGGAGAAGAAAAAGGATCTCATCCATCAACAGAACAGCTCCAGCCCGTCATCTCTTTGCACCTTTGGGGTGGCTGCTGCTGGGTTACAGCGGGATGGCAGCCCTGCATCCCATCCTGGGGCAGGTCATTCCAAAAGCAAAGGAGAAAGAGAGGGAGGAGGAGGGGGAAGAAGAGGAAGAAGAAGGAGAGAGAAGGAAAGAGAGGGAAGACCGCTAAGGAGACATGGCGGGGAGGGAATGGCTCGGGTTTCAGGGAGGCAGGCAGGGACACATCCTTAAATTGGGTGCTGGCAGAGCCTGGGTTACGCCTCAGGGGAAGGGGGAAGCTTTTTCAGAGGATTTGGGCTTTTCAGCTCCTTCCCACCTCCCTCCTCAGCTGTCTGAGTGCCCACCTGGAGAGGAAGTCAGCAACAACCATCTGGCTGGAAATATTTCTGTCGATGCCTGAGCCAGCACTGGGATGCAACGGGAGGGGACAGTCCCAACATCTTGCCCCTCCTGAGGGATTTGGGAACCTGCTCCTCAGACATGGTCCTCCCTGCCTGTTCCTGGGCAAGAAGCTACCTTTAGAGGTCCTTTTTTTCAGGATTTTTCCTGCCTGGCCATCCAAGGCAGCTCTGCTGAGGACGTTAGAGGGACCTGCCATGTCCTTGCTCTCTTAGCCTGCAGTGAAGGGTGTCCTGTGCTGGAAACCTTTCCCATCCACCTCCACCACCTCCTACTCTACACATTCATGTTGTCTCCTTCAGCTGCCAACCGGGGCATCTCTTTGTTTTAAAAGGAATTGTGTGCATTTAATAATTTCTAACCATTATAGCCTTTTAACCATTTTAACCATCATTGCAAGTAAAAGTCGAGTAATGTGAGACTTTTGGGTCCCAACAGGCTTGAGAATCATGGAGAAAGAACCTCCAAACATATTGGGTTTTCCAGTCTCATGAAATCTTAAGCTTCCCAGCAATTTTGGGAGCTTGGTGTGATTTTGGCTTTGAACAAGTTGATCTTATGAGCTACAGGATTCACTCTCACAGGAGGCAGCATTTGCCTTGTGGCTCTTGCTGCTGGATTGTTTACTCATTCCTACACAAAGCCAGACCCTTAAATGCCCTAAAATGCCCGTGTTTCATGTTTTAAGTCCTCACAAAGCCAGCTCTGGCTACAGCTGTCGCCAACTGCTTCTGCCATTACCTTCTTGTAGGGATTCAGTAATTAGCAATTAGGCATTTTTATTCCCCAGTAGCAGCAAAGTTCTAATTGACCAGATCATGAGTGAAAGTTTCAAAGGTGCTTTTTAAGTCTGTTTTGCCTAAACTTTGATAAACTCCCCACTGTCCTGGCTGTCTGCCAGGCCCATGGACTGGGAATCGTCAGCTCCAGCATCGATCCACATCCAGGCTTTGGGGCCCAGGAGTGTAAGCTGCCCTAATGTGGGCATGCAGGGATAAGGTCAGCAGCCTGAAGATGCCTCCCACCCTACCCAGAATTTCTCTGGCCATTTGAGCACCATCTCAGATGTTTTCCATGTCTGCATCCTTCCTGCATGTGCTCTGAGTGGCTTGGCAGTATCAGGCTGTGGGATTATGCTGCTCCGAGGAAAAGAAAACACAGCCAGCCTTATTCGAGGAGCAGCCACAACACAAGAAAGGCTAATTATAAAATTCCACAGGACAGCAAGGCTGTTCTCTTGTGTGCTGGAGAAAAAAGCTCTTTTTGTGCTTCGTGACGGTCCTGCTGCCTACTCAGGCAGGGACACTCAGAGACATCAGTGATGCTCACAGGAGAGTGGCTTATGGAGGGTTCAGGGCCATCCCCACATCCACTCAGCATCTGCCATGTGCCATGAGCAGCACCTACCACAGCTTCCTATGGCAGCAGGTGGCATTTCCAGCAGATCTGTTTTCTGGCAGCAGCTCGGTCATGGGTGGAAGCTGGGCAAAACAAGTGGCTCACAAATCTGCAGAAAACACGGAGCCTCCAAAAATATAGTAATGATAATATAAACAGATTTTCCTTTTCAATTAGCCAGGAAACTACAGAGAGGAGAGACAAACTTGTTTGTCTGTCCTATGCCATGGCCAGGAATTGTTTTGGGGGTGTAAAGAAGAACCCGGTGCCATACAAAAAAGCCATAAGCTGAAACAAAAGGCATCTCCTTGCTGTCAGGATGGAAGGATGGGGCTGAGCTGATCCTCAGGACACCAGTTGCTGTTGTGAGCCATTAGCCGGCTTATAACGAATGACAGGATTCCCCTGCTGATTGCTGAGCTAAATCACGGTGTACTTAGGGGTTTCCTGCTGCTGCCTGAGCTTTGGGGAGCAGCAGCACGAAGGATGCTGCACCTGCAATGGGATGAGCCACCCCTCCTTCCCCTGTTCCTCCTGCTGCTCCGGAGCACGAGCAGCAGATGGGATCCTGTGATGTGGGGTCCCAGGAGAGGAGCTCTCACCCCCAAACCAATCTGTGTCCAGCAGCCTTAGGAGAAGGGAAAGGTGTAAATGCAGCACAAGAGCATTTTGGTTTCCTGTCCTCAGTACAGAAGGAGCTGTGCTCCTAACACACCTCTCTGCTAATTTTAAGGTATTTTCTGGCGGTTTATAAGTCCTGAAATAAAGGCAGGGCTGAGGAAAGGGCGGTGGCAGCCCCCAGCATTGCACTCAGCTGCAGCAAGCTGGAGCTGCGGGAGAGGTACCCATCCCCTCCCCAGACAAAATCACCTTTGTTCCTCCCCGTAATCTGCTTCCTGCCCGACGTGCTGCAGAAACCACCTCAGCCAGGTGAGAAAGAGCAGCCCAAGGACGCTGTGCTGACAGGAGGCTCTCCAGAGGGCAGCTGACCCACGCCGTGGGCTCCAGCCGGTACCCAGAGCTGCGGAGGAGCAGGCACGGATCACAGTGGGGAAGAGGGGATGGGAAACGGGCAGCTGGGTCCTCTCCATCACCCACGCTGGTCACAGCAAGGGCACTCGCTGTGGGAATGAGCTTTAGAGTATGTCTGTAACTCCCTGCCTTTTCTGGGTGTCATTATCGCCATGGGGTGAAACCTCACCCTGCACTGGACTCCTGGCAGTGGGATCCACTGGAACAGCAGCCATATATATGTATATGTGTGTGTGTATACATGTATATATTACTGTGTGTGTATTTATACGTGTAGGTATATATTTATGTACACATACGAGGCGTCCAGCGGGACCAGCACTTGCTGGCTTCTCCGCCAGCCCTGGGGAATCCAGGCATCCCGCTTCTGCTGCAGCATCGCTGTTGTGAGATGGGTGTGCTGCAGCCTCAGTGCTTTCAAATACACCCCTGAGAGCCCAGACCACGCCCAAGTGTGCGGCTGGGAAGTGGTGACCTGTCTGGGGACACGCAGGCTGACAAGACAGTCGGGGTGGACATCGCTGCCTGCTGGGGCAGGGACCTGTGTGGAGATGCGGTGTCCGAGCCTGACACTCCAGGGACCAGCTTGGGTTGGAAGGGACCTTTAGAGGTTTATTTGGTTCCGGGAATGCTCCGGAGCGATGGATCACCTCGTCGGCTGCCAGGAGGCTGAACGTGCACTAGGTGGCAACCAGCTTCAGGGAGAGGCGCTTGCGGCAGCCGGGAGGGGTGTTGGGTTTGGTCGGGGAGAGCAAAGCTCCACTGGGAACCCCCAGGGACCCGCCAGTGCGGCGGGCACAGCCGGCAGAAGGCAAAGCAAGACCAGTCCTGTCCATAATTAACGTTAATGGCGAGGGGAGGGTGGCCAGAGCAGAGGAGACACACTCAATCCAGAGGACTGGGCTCCAGAGTTTCCTGGCTGGATTTAGCAAAGGCAGGGAGGAAGCTGTGGCTGCCCCATCCCTGGGAGTGTTCAAGGCCAGGATGGACAGGGCTTGGAGCAACCTAGGATAGTGAAAGGTGTCCCTGCCCATGGCAGGGGGAGGGAAGGAGATGAGCTTTAAGTTCCCTCCCAACCCAAACCATTCATGATTCCATGATTTCCCTGGAGAAGGCAGGCAGAGGGGAATAGAGCGTTTAGCTGAGTTCATGGGGCATCTTCCACCACCACCAGGGATGAGGAACATGTCCTCTTCAGTAGGTAAATCCCAGGTGTTGGAGAGCAAGGTCACCCAGCAAGAGTGGGATGCCCACACCAGATCCATCCCTGCTTTGTCTAATCAGTTCCCAGCAAGAACCAGCAGCAGCTGCTGCAGAGGAAAATGAAACAAAATTTCACCTATTATCTTCTGCCTGCAGAGGAATTTCTTCCTAATTTCTGTCACTTTGGGTTTGTCTGCTCAGGGAAATTAATCTGAAATCGAGTGGGCTGTGAATTCAAAGTGCTGCAGCAATCCCAGCAGAGCTTGGACAGGCTGTTTCCTAAGTGGCCAGGCTATTCCCCAGAGCACCAGCCTAAGCCTGGCAATTTAACAGAGCCCCAAGCATCAGGTTTTATAGACATTAGTGTAGGACCTTGAGTCAAAACCGCCTGAGATGGAGCAGCCATGGAGAAATTAATTCAGCAGCCTTCCAACCCTGCTGCAAGAAAAGAAACAGGAGGAAGGCAAATATTTGACTGATTACCCCAGTGTGTGGATGGATCAGACAGGAGCTGATCCCATGTTGGAGGACTCCCTGCTTTGCATACTGATTTGGGGAGCATGCAGAGAAGGGTGTGGGAAAGAAGAACATGGGAAATAAGGGATAAAGCTGGGAAAAAAAAATCTGTAAGGGACTGTGTTAAAATCTGTGGATCATTAGGGTAAAAATAATATAAAATATAATATCCAATATTTTAGCAGGCAGTCGGGACTTTGAGGTCTGCATCCCTGTAAAAACAGGGTCCTTAGGGAGAGCAGGACACCGAGTTTCACATCCAAACTCAGAGAGCATCTTCGCAGAAGTTGTTCTTCACGCAGAACGGTTGGAGGAATTTGTGCAGTGGGGTCTGACAGGTTCAACTGGTCACCAGACCCCAGATTCCTGTTGTACGTGGTGCCTGAGCCCTGCTAACCCCTTTCAGGTTGTTGGACCATCATAGCATACAGGACAAGTGAGGGAGAGGTGTGGGAAAAGGGTGAAAGGGTGACTGAGGGAGGCTTGTGCTGCTGAGATTAGGTGTCTCAGCCATCCACCATGTGTGGCAGAACCTTCCAGGGACCTTGATGCAAGATCAGGTCATGAATCCCTGCTCAAAAAATAAAAATTAAAATAAATCCAGTGCACTTCTAGACTATTCACACAGCTCAGCCACTGCCTGGCTGGTTTACCTCCATGGGTACAGCCCTTCCCTTCTCCCAAGAGCTGCACCCAGTGCATATCTGCTCTCCCCCACCCTGCAGCCCTTATCTTTAGCACCCTTCAGCCCGGGAACATTGCCCAGAGACCTCGCCCAGCCTCCCTCACCAGCCAGGACTCCTCACTTGGAGCATCCCTTCATCTCCCAGCCCTGCCATGCAGTTCTGCCAGACTCGATAGAATCCCTTCTTCACCATCCTCGATTCTCCCTGAAACCTTTTCCTATTTAGGACCAGAGGATATTTGACACCTCTGCAGCCATGCAACCACGTGGATCACATAGTCTGCTCCCAGCACGGCTTTATAAAACATTCTTATCTATTTTTCAGGAAAAAAACCCTTGCACTGCTCTCCAGTTACCAATTACAGCCGTAGGAGACAGGAATCCTGAGCACCTGAGTTGTAAATGTGAATCTTATTGTTTAAGCAGACACATTACGAGCAGGCTATCAATCACTTTTGGCAATTATTAGTTCTTTGTGAGTATTTTGAACTCAAGTATGTGACAGTCTCATCCATCCTGGAACAGAGAAATCCATGGGCATTTACATACAAGGCTGATCTGGGGGGGATGCAGCTTCAGAGGGTTTTCATCGAAGCTGTTGTGGTTATGTGCTTGGTGCTGTACATTTTTGGCAGAGAACCAATCTTATATAAGCTCTGTAAAGAAAATTCTTATGTGTTTAACCCTGGTAGAAGAAGTTTAGAAGATGTCTCCATTTCTACAGCATAAAGTGGTTCTATATGTTATTTTTGCTGTAACTATTCAATCCAAGAATAATGTCCTTTATTTTATAAGCCTTTGGGAGCAGATGTATCATGTCATGGGTGAATCAGTGTTGCTGGGTGTAAAGTCCAGGGAGGTTTAAAGTCATTTGATAAGGACTGGTGAATGCTTCCTGGTTTTGAAAGAATTATGATGATCTTAAGGGTTTTTACTGACCTAAATAATTCTATGGTTCTATGATCATTGCTGACAATGTCTCAGTGGGATTTTGACTTCTGCATCCATCGAGGGAAAAATCTAGGTGGTGTCTGACCTAGCTCTAACAGAGTATGAAGTGATCCAGCTCTCTGCAAGGTGCTTCAGGATTAAAGGAATCCCTAAATAAATACATATTTTGGAAGGTGCAGCAGGTGGGAGGAAGCAGCGCTCTATTGTTGGAGAGATCTGCACACACAGGGTTGTGTTTAACCACCCTCATCCCTGCTCATACAAGGAACAGGCATCTCCAGGGCTTTGTTTTGGATTTGCATAGATGTAAGTGAAATCCTCAGGGCTGTACTGAGCAGCTGATTGATCCAGGATGGATCTGGCTTTGGTGGTCACATCCACATCCCCACAGGACGGGGCAGCATGGAGAAAGCAGCTCCCACAGCATCCAGTTAAACTGCCTTAGAGGCTGCAATGTTATGCACCACATGCACCCCATCACACACTATCACACACATGGTCACACTCACGCGTTGTTGCACACTCAGGGTACCACACAGAGCATCTCACACACCCAGTATTACACATGCTCACACGGACAGTATCACACTCACACCCAACGTCACACTCCTGCACGGCTGCTGTCAGACACACTCACACACCCCCACACCACACACGTCACACTCACACACATTATCACACACACACACGATCACACACTATGACACACACTGTTTCACTCAAACACATTAACATACACACGTTATCACACTCTCACTATCACACACTTTCACTCACACATCGCACACACTATTTCACACACACATTTACACACACACAATCACACGCTCACTATCACACACACTACCACACACTGTTACACGCACATTATCACACACAGTAACACACTATTTTACACATACTATCACACTCACATTATCACACACAATCACACACACTATCACACACTCTCACTAGCACACACACAATTACACACTATCACACACAATCACACACACTCAGTATCACACACACTATCACACACACAATCACACTCTCATTATCACACACACTATCATACACATTATCACACACACTATCACACATTATCACACACACTATTTCACTCACACACATTTACACGCACTCACTATCACACTATCACACACACACACACACACTATCACACACACACTATCACACACACACTATCACACTATCACACACACTATCACACACTATCACACACACACACACACTATCACAACACACACATACACAATCACACACACTATCACACACTATCACAACACACACATACACAATCACACACACTATCACACACTATCACACACACACTATCACACACA